CAGCCAAACTGAAACCGTTTGTAAGTAAATGGTAAATTATAAACATAAGTCAGCTGTTCTGATTAATACATTATTTAACAGCTGAAAGAAGATCGCACAAGCAGATGGTAAGCGATGTGTTTAGTTCTAGAAAATCATAGGTCAACTATGAATCATCAAGCTGGGCGAAAAAAAAAGCAGAAGTTGTTCTCGTGTTCCGGCTGTTATGCTTCCAACGTTTTTAAATTCATTTTCCCATGGACATCATTGTATCACAAAAAGGTTAAAATTTCTGACCTGTTGTTTCGTACAAAGTCTCATACTCAGCAGTGGTTGTTTTGGGATTTTAAAATGACGTGTAACAAAAAGCAATTGTTCCGCATGTCAATATAGTTTCTTTTTGTTTCTGTTGACCTTTCTTCAGACTATGTTTAAACATTCAGTCTGATCAGAACAAAGAATAAGATAGCTGTTTAGCGTAAATAGCCAAAATCAGTAAGTGAACAAATATTGCTTCTTCTTTTCAAAAACTTTCTTCGGATTCTGAAAAGCTTTTCAAAGCAAAACTGTAATCAGATCGAGAAAAAAATGATAGAACTGTTGGTTTAGTGGGAACATCATCGGTTTTTTTTACACTTCAATTTGTTACAAAGATTTTGCTGTTCTGATAACTTTTTTCCATCTTTTTCCTTGCAATCGCATAAATTCGCCACTTCTTTTTTTTTTTTCTTTTTTTTTTTTTATTTATACTTTGGTCCGATAGCTACAGAGGCCGTACGCTACTAAAGACGACTGATCAATTGCAATATTGTTTTTTTTCTGTACTGTCATACAACGATTTGTCAGCTCTGGGGAAATATCTCGATACAGTTGCTGAAAATACAGATTTAGTGGTTGGAACCTTGATTCTTTAACTAAATTGACTACTTTCCAAACGATTTTTAAAATTCTTACGCATTATCGAACATCATCGGATTTTGAATTACAAACAGCTTTTTCTCTTTGAATAACCTGAATTGTCGGATTTCTGTCACGGTCCTTATCCTGCCGTTTTTTTGGCTACTTTTTTTCTGCTTTTTTAGCAAATAATAAGATCGTAAAATCAAAAAAAAGCTCTGATATTGGCTAATGTTATAGTTTCAAATACAGTTTTTATAGTAAAGAAAGCAAAAATAAGGTTGACAGTACAAATAGAACTGCTTTTTTTTTCATTTCACAGTTTCATGCTGAAATATCGTTCTCTTTTATCACGTTCTGCTGTCAGCTTAATACCGGAAAATTAGCACATAAATTTTTTTTTATTTTTTTTCACTTCTATCCGACAGTATGAAAACTCGGGAGAACTTTTAAAGCAAAGACGTTTGGAAAGATTGGCAGATGGTATGGGTGCTGTTGGCAATCAAAGAATACAACGGGATTATTTTGTTAATTGCTTTACATCTCACTTATCAGTAAAGCCATTTTCTTTGTTGTTATTGTTGTACACCACCAACAGTTCCATAAAACATTGAAAATAGCTGTTATACATTGCAAAAAAGAAGTGTTACTGTTAGAAAAAAGAACAGATTTTTAATTAAAAGCAAATAAAGCTAAATTTTCTTTTTGTTACCGTTGCACTCAGTGTGCTGAGAAAGTGATGTTTTGAATCTAAATTAATTATTTAGGAAGTTCCGTAGATCATAGTTAAAATAAGTTGTTTAAAGAAAAAATTATTCATTATCATTGTGAAGAATGGTTTTTTTAAAATTTTATTTGAGGTTAAATTTTCATTATTGTTATTCATTAGCTAGTGTTTTTTTTTTTTTGGTTTATTTATGATTAACTATATAATTCATCTTTTTTTTTTTTTGCTCGTTTTTGAACAAGAAAAATTATAAATTCTTTATTAGGAATTTCTCACAAACAATGAGCAGTAAGTTTACAGTTGAATACCCTTTTTTTTTTTTTTTGGGGGGGGGGGGGGGGGGGGGGGGG